CCATCGCAACTAGGATGGAGGCGGTCGCTCTTAGGTTGGAGGCCATCTCTTAGGTTGGAGGCCATCGCTATAAGGTTCTTTTCTTTCACTGTAAGGTCCTTCATCCACTGTCGCTGTCACCGGGTGTTCTATGGTCGCTAAGGCTCCCACCACGTGACCAGCCTTACACCTGGTGCTTCCGGTATCACGTGGGTCAAAGCCGCTAGAAACAGCGGTGATTGCAAGGCAAGGGTTTGACCTAGGATTTGCAGTGTATGCCTATAGGCTATAGGCATGCTGTAGGTATATGTTGATCTATGGTAAATGGACATAGCATACCTATATAGGCACATGCTATAGGCATGCTGTTCCATGGTGAAGGACATATAAGGACAACTGACAATGGGAACGATGTGCTTGAAGGATCCCATCCCACACCTCAGCATCCTTCACCGGTAGGGAGAAATGGTCGGACGTGAAGTGCCGAAGTGCACGAAGGAAGTAGCGCTTCTCGATTTCTTGATTGTGTGTGTGGGGGGATACATTCTCCAGCTTGTCTCAAAATAGCACGACTCCCAGTTTTTTGTAAGGATGGGACAGCCTAAAATCTGCCTGTGGACAGTGGTTCATACAACTTTGGTTGCCGTGGGAGAAGGGGTCCTCCAATTGGTGCAGTCTTGGCTTCGTAAGGGCTGAGCTTCGCTTGTCTACTGAAAACGAGGTGATTCTGCTTTGGAGCTGAGCAGCTGATCTGGAGCAGTTTGAGACAACGAAAAACGACGAGGACTCGGCCGGCGCTTTCCGAGGCCGATGCGTATGCGGCCAGAGGCCGCAAGTCAGGCCAGGTGATGCCGGGTGATGCCAAACCCAACCCTCGATAGAGAAGGATGGTCATTCAAACCCACACACTCCATGGGACTAGAATACATGCCTACATTGACCCCTAGTGCAACCCCCCCCCCATGTAGATCTGTTTGGCTATGCCAGTCCCAGCCACAACCATGTCTGGGACATGATGTTCTTCTGGCGGCCACGTGGTCGAGATGGGCACACGTCCCACAAACGGTCCGAAGCGGTTTGTGGTATTATATCGGGCTGAAATTTGCTCTGGTGGCTGCGGCCAATCAAACCAGCTGAAAATCATGAATCTGCAACTTAGTGCCAGCAGTCCCTCAAGAAATGATCTTCAAAAACGCACTGAGAAAAACGTTGCCCTGCCACGAGCATCTTGAGCGTCGCAAAGGAAAACCACCGGTTTGGGTTGTCGTAGACAGATCGCCCACCATCTGTTCCTCCAACGGGATTTCGGATTTGTATGTTAAACAACCCATCTCTACACTGGACGTTGCCTCACATCCATCCAATCCCATCAAAGCGCTTCAAGATATTTTTCGTCGCGCCGGTGCAGCCAGCCATCTCGCATGCTTTTGACGGTGCCAGCCACGCCTGATGGTTTCACACGAAGGTAAGTGTGTTCACATCACAATTGAAAAACCAAGTCAATTACACACCTAAAAATATTTGGGTGGCCGAAACAATGCAATAATAAACTATTGCAAAATATGTTCAGTTGGTTGAACATAAAGAGCGGGCAAATTGCAAACTCATTTTGAAAATAGACTAAAACACTGTCAATAAAATAAACATGGTGAATATCTGTGAATACTTCTCACAGCTTCACAGCGCCGGTCGTATTTTCCTGACCTTCCCTCATCCCTCCCCGCGCAATGAAACACCAAACTGCAGATATTCCTGTCATACTTACAGAATCAGAATGAAAGGAGAATGAGAGCAGAATGAAAGCAAATGAATGCAGAATGAAAGAACATGTAATGAACTCCTGAGGTGACTATCCCAACAAAAAATGGAGACGTACGCCCCTCCGCTTATCATTACGAATCTAACATGTACTAGTAGACTGGACTGAATGAACTGCATCATCAATGAAGTAGCAATGCATCTCCTGTTTTGTTGGTGTTTCGGCAGGTCGTCAGAGTGTTCTGAACTCTACGAGGAAGCACTGTTGTTATTGAGCTCCATCTGGGTGACAAAACGTGGAACATGATGACTGACAAGACTAGGAACATCTGGTTGCGATTCGTGGTCGGCAGTCGAATCGACTCCACATGACTTTCACAAAACAGCGGTTGTCAGCCGTGCGGTGAGCCTGCATCGCGACGTGTGGCCTGCAATGTGGCCAATTCCTTGCACACCAAAAAATCGGACGTGGACGTACGTTGCACCGAACCTTGACTATCATGACTTTGACTTGTTGTCTTGGGCCTTTGATTGTGTCCAATACTAAGGCCTGTTTTCAAGGCCATACCAGTTGCTTGATTGAAGTGATCAACAAATCTACTTGAAGTGTCTAAGACTTTTTCCTCTGAGCACACAACCTGCTCATGTACCAAAGAAGGTCTTAGAATTCGCTGACCCTGAGCCTGACGAGTTTGACTCATTTCAAGAGGCGTGTTCTTTTTCAGATCCTTGAAGCATCCCAAAGAGGGCGTCCCCGGGTCCCCGGAGCTGTTGCTAAACGGACATGGCGCACGTCACCTTTCAGGTCCGGTACCCGCTGTCCCGCTGTCCTCACGCAAGAGCAGCACATCGTAGAAGGTGGATGCACGCCTGTCCGAAGAGCTGCGATCAGCTCGAGAAGCTAACGGGTGAGGACCAGCATAGCCAGCAACACTTGACAATTGTACAAGAAAGAATCGGAACTTATTTGAACAAGGTGATTTGTATCTGAAAGGCGAAAAAGACTTTGCAACAAACGTGGAAAAAGGGGTCATTCTTCACCAAAAGAACCTTGATATAATGTTTATACATGTTTATACATATACTTGTACATACATATATATATATATCTTATCTTACCTTGTTTGGCCAAGCTGCATTGTCGTCAACGCTGCCAGCTCGCTACCTGACATGGCGCCAGCGAAGCCAAGAACGTTTGGAACCACTTGTGATTCACCTCGGTTTTCGCGCCATGCTCGGTCAGCGTTTGTCTGACTGCAGGAAAATGGCCCTGCTTTCACAAGAAAGGTAGATGAAAACTCAAATAACAAAAAGCAGTATCTCAGGGCAACTCTGACATGTGGGCCTGCTTGGTGTTCACTCTCCAAGTGACCAGCCAGCATCATTTCCTTTTCCATGTTGTTCACCTGTATTTGAAGGGCATCTCTTTCTTCCATGGCGGCCTCCCAGCGTCGTCTCAGTGCCATATTGTCCTCACAACCGGCGTCCGCACAAGGAGCCTCATGAAAACAAACAAACTACAGTACCAACATACAATTACAACCTTGATTCTTGATGTATCATTGATGTGTCTTGCACAAGTCTTGCACGTGTTTCGGTCAACAACTCCATTCTCTTTAGGACACTCCGGTCCAAAACCACCGGCGTCCGCACCGAAAAATAACATTGCCCGTCCTGTCCGCTTTTCGGAAAATTATATTTCTAAACCAAGAAAAGATGACTTGTAGCTTCCATAGCTACGAGTAACTAGTAGCTTCTAGCTACTTGCTACTTGTTATATACTAGTAGCTTTGCCCTTGACACTGCCAGGTCTCGGAGGTGGCCACCTGCAACGCGGCCACCGCCTCGCTGAGTCGCTCCGCCCAGATCTCTCCGCTGGGGCCGCCCCAGGGCCGCGGCTCCGCTGCTCCGGACGCGGACGCAGGTGCCGTAGACGCGTCCGGTGGAGTGGAAGGCGTTTCGGAGCGCTCCTTGTCCTCAGGATGTGCGACACTTGAGCAGTCAAAGACAGCCCGCGCCTATTTGCAGCGGATTCTTAGGTCAAACCTTTGCCATCAATAAAGCATAATAAATCATAATCAATCGATCTTCTTGTACTGACGAGTCTCAATCCGCCTATCAGGCGGCGGAGATGCTGCGGGAGGCATTTTGCTCGGAGTCACTTTGACGTCATCGTTCGCACGACGAGGTGTTCGATTCTGCTGATGCTGGACACGCTGGGAAGACTCTCCAACATCAAAGACAAATTCTGGGACATGGGTAAGGTCACCTTGTAGAACTTCTCTGGGAATGGGCTTTCCCGTCACCCGGAGAACGTAGTTCTCTGCCAACGATAGCTGTCCTTTGAGAAATTGGACTTCGCGCCGCAGCTGTCGAATGAGCAAGGTCGTTGGATCAAGATTCACAACAGGTCGGTTGCGTATAGAGCCAGCTGTACAGGCATACTGGAGTGTGGAGACATTCTCCTCGAAGTTTGAGTCCAGAATTGAGAGGCAGGCCAGCATCAAGGTGTAGCCAGACCCCCCAATGGCATCGCGCAAAAGGATTGTGAGCTTGGATTCGCGGTACGGCACCAGCAGCTTGTTGCCCTTGCGTTTGGCCAGGCACATGATCACTTTCCGCAGAACAAACAAGGACTGGTTGATGCCAACACTTTCTTGAAGAGTTCGGCCGCTGGCACCTCAGTTCGGCCGCCCGGGTGACCGACTTCGGCGGTCAGCTTCTCTAGAAGCTGAACGCAGTTAGGAGAGTTGGGTATGTTAGGTAAGAATGATGGTCCTCTTCTTTGCTTTCAGGACCATCCAGCTTTTGCCTACTCATGATGCTGAACAAACATGGCATGCTTGGAATATGACATTGGAAGCCCATCCCTGTGTGACCAGGTCGAAGACGCTGGCAAAGTTCGTGACTCATTGAAGGTGCGTCAAACACTGTGGACCTGTCTTCAAGGATTTTCTGCATGAACCAAAGCAGCACCGATAGAGAAGACGCACAGGGCAGACGTCCAAAGCTGCAGCCCCACGATCCTGGACAGAACGTGATAAGAACGTCCGAACAAACCTCCAGTTTCTTGCAGAGGCACCAGTGATTGCTTGACGTTCTGACCCTGCTAAGTCGACCAATGTCAACTTGGAGACGCGGTCGACAGAATGATCACTCCTCCTGCAGACAGGCGTCGAACAGAAGTGCTATTGTAATTGCAGCCAAGTGGTTGGTGGGTCCAAAAGGAGGCCTTGGGTTCTCTTGATGGGGGCTTCACTAAAAGGGCCCTTCTTCCTTTCTTCCCCTATACACTGTTTTCTATTTACTATTTAAATCTGTTTGAACAAGGTCTTGGAAGCTTGACTCATCCGCTTGTCCCCGCTGGTCCTCTCAATCGTCAAGGTCAAGACAGAGTGGGAACGGCTGCTGGCCTTGACGGGATCCGATCGTCCGTGGGGACCCTATCACAAAACAAATTCCATATCAAATCTTCGGGGTCGAATCATGTTCGTTTGATTTCCTGAGATCTTTGTTTTGGTGGTTGATGCCGAGAGAAGGCACGCTTTTGGGGGGTACATACACTTCAAGGTATGCTTTGGCGAGATGCTTTTGGGGAATGCTTGGCCTAAGGCGAGCATGACTATTTTGAATGACTCTGGGCACTGGGCACCTTCATGATATTGAACATGACATAGAACTACGGATCCGCTGCTTTGTTCATCACCCGATCTCCATTGACAGAATCAGCCACATGGCGACTTCGTTCCAATCCTGCCTGGTTCATTTGGTGACTTGCCACGGTGCGGTTCTTGACTCCGGCCTCGCAAGGACCCACGTGCATCCGGTACTGCAAGCTTGGGCAGCCGTCTGAAGTGCGTGCCTTGTAGTAGTTGAGGGCCTCTCCTGGAGTCCTCGGTCTCTCGGGTCAACTAGTGCCAAAGGCAACACCAAGCACGGCAAATGCTGCACCACCCAGATCATCCTAGATCTTGAGAACGAAATTGTCAATGTTTCACCAATCATCAATATCATTATGATACTACATATTTCTACATGTCTCTACATGAGTGTGTGTGTGTGTGTGTCTGTGTGAGTGTTTTCGGGGGCCTGCACTCGAAGACGAAGAGGTTCTCCACGGACACAGAAGACTCACCTGCAGCGCAACAGGATTTCAGTCTGGCACTCTCCAGATTGACGGGTTTCAGTTGGATGAAAAAGTTTCAGATTGGCATGCCTTCAGTTGTTTTCTAAATGCTCAACTTAGAAGCTCAAATTTAAATTCAAAACGACTGGCCTTTTCAGCACTATGGCTGAGCAAGTGAAACCAATATCGACATTGCCACCGCCGATGCCGATGAGACATGCAGTGAATTTGACATCTCAAATGCCTTGTGCTGCATGGGATCTTTTTCGGTCCCAAAAAGCAGCCAGCCGATCTAGCCCAATAAAATGTTGCGAGGGGCTCTTGTATCTACTGTCCGGCGATTTACTGATACCTTCTCGTTTGGGTGCCAACTCTGTTCATAATCTTTGCAGCTTTCCGGTCCAATGCTCGCTGATGCTTCTTGAACTTCCCCTTCGGCCCCTTCTTGTCTTTCTGATTCGCCATGGCATCCGCACCCGTCTCTTCATTGCCTTGCGCTGTGCTCTTTTGGAGCTGTCGGTGAGCTTCATTTTGCCTTTGCCATGCAGTGCTGGCCATGCTTTCAATGTTAATGGCGGACCATGCTGCAGCCATGACATCACACACAGCCTTCCTGAGTTCTTCAGCAGCAGCATGGCAACCAGCATCATGGGATTTTCCATAGCTCTTTTTCCACTGCCGCCATTTCGTTCTAAGCATTCCCTTGAGGTCTGAATTGATCGCTGCTGCAATGTTCGTGGACAAAATGTTCATTGACTCATCAAACGCCTCCACCAATGCATCAGGTGTGTCTTCATGTGGATTGCCAGCCATAAGAAAGAGTCGCAAAGACTCAGCATTGGAGACTTCCCATGTGACCATTTTCAGCTCTTTGTACACATCTTTCAGTGTGGACTCGTTGTGTTCATCATCCATCGATGCCAATTTGGCTTCCAAAGGTACAAGTGCTAAATATGGAATGAGAATCTCCCTCTGCCATCGCTTTAGGTGATCACACACGTACACCTTAAAGGTGGCAGAACTCTTGAGATTCGGCCGCGCCTGTGGCATGAAGCTTTGCTTCAAAAAAGGTGCAGAAATCCAGCGTTGGTCCAGGCTGTTGACTATCGAGGTCCGTGTCTTCGGTGAACACCTCACTGCCTAGACCTTCATCCATGTACACTGGGATACGCATCAAGGAGAACTTCTTGTATGCGGTCGGCCCCAAGCAAATCCCAGCTTGGCTTGATCGAGCAACACAAGCTTGAGAATGCCCCCAAGACTTTTCCTCAGCTTTCCGTGGCACCGAGCCAGTGGAATGGGTCAGCCTGGCCGACCCTGAGCCAGCATCAATGCTGTACCTGCAGAATGTCAATTGCCAAATTTCATGTGATATACCACCAACAACAAAAAACAACAACAACCACAACGGCAACAACAAGACAACAACAAACAACAAACAGCAAGCAACCAACCAACCAACCACCCAACCAACCGACCGACCGACCGACCGACCGACCGACCGACCGACCGACCGACCACCTTTTGAAGCTCTTTCAGAGTGGAGTGAACTGCCCAACTTGAAATGCGTTATGGGACTCATGGTGCAGTGAACAGCCCTAAACATCACGTGCCAAACAAACCTACCCACTCAGCGTCAAACAGCCACAGCCACAGCGACGACAACAACAGCAGCAGCAGCAGGAGCAACAACAAACAACTCTTGCTTATATATTTAGCATTCTAGTACCAATGTGAATTTGCAAATGGTGTAAAGCTGTATATATTGTATAAGTTATTTCAGCCCGAAACAAGAAGGTATAGAAAGAAACACTCTTGATTTCACATCAGTTCGCTCGAAGACTTCGTCTATGTCTGCCGAATCTTGGAACACCTTCAGAGCATTCAAAGAATCACGAGCCATCTGCGCATCAAAGGCTGAGAAGGTTGCCAGCGAGTGCTGCGTGGTGGAGGGCTCATGCACATATGCACAAGACTGGCGGCAACCGCTGCCTTCGGCCAAGGCATCTAGGACGAGTTCTAAATGCTCAGGACTCACAATAACGTCAGACTTCCCTAAATTCACACCCTCAAAGGCATCTTCAATCTCACCGGCTAAGGCTGAGTTCACGAAAATATGAGCCCCGCGAGCCCATGAAGGCGTACATGAGAAGCTTTGAAAGTTCATGCCCCTACAAACGTCATACAATTGCATCTGGACAGGGCTTAAATGCGCATGGAGCTCTTCCACGAGCTGTTGCAGTACATCATCTGATTCTGATTCTTGCAATCTGATCCTCTGCAAGTGCTGCTGGCAAAGCTGTTGTCTGAGCTCTTGCCCTAGCTTCGCGCACAGGTTATTGTAGCTGCCACGGACCCTCAGCTTGTACACCTTGTAGTCCATGACCCGACGTTCCTACCTTCCCATCCACACTGTTGAGCATGCGGCTGCCGCAAGGGCCGAAACAAACCATACAATTAGTGATATGATGTGATATGGTGGTACCCCAACAGAAGGGTGTTTCTTTTCCTGCTAAAAAAATGATGTAAAACATGTCACGCAAGTCCTAGATAGATCTTTCATCAGCATGTTGAAGCCTAGCAGCCTTCATTGAAAGGGCCAACAGCCAACAGCCGCCAAAAGTTGTTCCCTTTCTCTTCACTCTTTAATGGTGTCTTGCCAATCTCAGCAGCAGGCGTGGATTCCAGTGGAGACGTAGGCCGCCCAAGCTGTGATTTGTAAGGTGCACCGGGTTCAGCAAATCGAAAATCCGCCTGACCGAGCTGGAAGCCTAAAATAAAGATACTAGGCTGGAGGCCATCGCTACAAGGCTGGAGGCCATTGCTATTAGGTTGGAGGCCATCGCTATTAGGTTGGAGGCCATCGCTACTAGGTGGGAGGCGATCGCTACAAGGCTGGAGGCCATTGCTATTAGGTTGGAGGCCATCGCTATTAGGTTAGAGGCCATCGCTACTAGGTGGGAGGCGATCGCTACTGGGGGTGGAGGCCATCGCTGGTAGGTTGGAGGCCATCGCTACTAGGATGGAGGCCATCGCTCCTAGGTGGGAGGCGATCGTTACTGGGGTGGAGGCCATTCCTCTTAGGTTGATTGTGCTTGAACTTGGCACCCGATAAAAAGCCTTCAGCAAAGAGAGGAGAAGCTATCTACCCTAGCGAGGATGTGTGATGAAATATGTGACCAAATCCGAATCACATTCCGATGACTTGCAAGCCGAAGTTCTCATTGTAGATCTGCAAGAAAGACAAGCGGAAGGTGAAGCTGCAGTCACCTCTGCCAGCAGGTCTGGCATATTTTGCACTTGACCCGGCACATGCAAACACCGTTGCATTGCAGGTATATAATGGTATACAGGCGTGTGGTTTTCTCACTGTGACATAGAGATACATAGAGGCAGGGGCTGCATGCACCTTTTGCCCAATGCACACACAAGCTTTCCATGCAGCTTGTGACTTCCTCGTTTGTCTTGTGCATAATGCATCGCACCGTGCTCCACGGCCTTACGAAGGACCCAACAAAGCAAAATTTACCTCCGCAGGTGTAGTTTTGCGTATAGGTCTCTTGCCCGTGTCTGCGTGTGAGACTCCCCACGTGGTGGTCAGTGGTTGTGGACTATTGTGTGTTGGATCCTTTTTGTTGACGGGGTGCCTGGCGTTGGTTGGCGGGGTCGGATGATGAGTTTTTCTCTGCTAGCAGCTTTGTATTGTGAAAATGGACCACGCGGCATGCCTACGATTTCCTAAGCTCCTCAGGTAGCTACAGGAGTTCCTTGTGACCTCCTGCCAAACAGGCTGAGGCAGGCACCGGCCAAACTTTGCTGCTCCATACGTTGGAAAAGGCCTTCAATGCAGCGGGGGACAATCCCCAGCTTCTCAGGTGCCGTCAAGGCTGGCTTCACCTTGCGCCGCACTGCCATCAGCAACCCCATCTGAAGGTTTGGGGCATCAACTGTTGTATACAATCTATACCTGAGAAGGGAGAGGACGAAAGCCGGCCCCCCGTAAGAAAACATACATGTGGTTATGGGGTGAATTCCACAGCGTAGTAGGCTTGCTGTCAAACATGGGGAAATAGAAGGCAGCGAGGCGGAAAGTCTTACATTGAGGGCCGATATGATAGGCTCTTTATACACAAGGTTTTGATCAAGCCCCATCAGCGGTTGTAGGATAGAAGTGGAGCCCATGCGTTAGGAGAAAGGCTGAATTGAGCAGGACATTTGCAGTTCGGGGGACAAATTTTGAATTGAACAGGACATTCACAGGTCGGAAGGCCTTTCTCTTTTGGCTTAGGGGAAAAATGTAAAAAACGATTGAGTGAAGTTTTCTAAACTAATATCATAGCAGTATAACAAATCAAAACTTATTCATAAACAAACATAACAGTCCAAAAAGTCAGTTTAAATATTGTTGATTGCTTCATGTTTCTCAACAATATCAAAACATAATTGCCTCATTCAGTTTTTTCAAAATCATAGCAGTCAAAGCATACTTACCTCATTATTTGTTCAAAATCATAGCAGTCAAAATACAATTACCTCATTCAACCTTTCAAAATCATTGCAGTCAAAGCATACTTACCTCATTCATTTTTCCAAAATCATAGCAGTCAAAAGCAGTATTACCTTATTCGTTTTACAAAATCCTATCCATCAACCGTTCCTAAATTCCTTTATGCTTATCTGTTTGTAAATATAATAACATTGTGAATTCATTGATGAACTGCATACACTACAAAAGGCAACTTTGTCACGATAGTTTTGTATTTGTTCCTGTTTCTTTTTTCTATATTCTTCATGTTCTTTATATTTAGTTCTTCGTGTTTCATTCACTTTATCTTTATGTTTGTCATAGTTCTTTCTCTTGTATTCCAAGCATTTCTTACAAGTCTTCAATCCATCTTCAAAAATATCAATTGGTAAATCTTTAACACAGTATCTTCAAACTTTATCCATTACATATAAATATGATTATCTTCTTACATGACTTTTTCAAGAATTCCTAACAACCAAAAAACAAAAACAAACCAAGCAAAGAACAATATATAAGACAAAACGGCAGACAACAATAAAGATAAACCCGAAACCTTTAATAATCCGATCTTACAAATCCATAATTCTAATAAATAGATATTATTAGAAATATGTTTGTAGTAAATATCTTCTATAGTCTATAATTATTTTTTAAAATGAAATGCTTGTATTATGTCTTCATCTGCTTTATTCAATACATTGTCTATATTATCTTCATCTACATATTCATCAAAGTCATTCATGAAGTAAACTTCTCTATAACTAAATTCATTGTCTCCAAATTCTTTATCTGAGAGTTTTGCTACTATTTGGACTTCAATATCAAGTTTAAACTCCAAAATCTAAATTATTCGCTTCTACTTCTTCATAAAACAAAGGTAGTAATTCGTCTTTTTCTTCTGTTATGATGTTTCCCTTACTTTTTAAACTAAAATACAATACTCAATTATATACATGTTGTTTCTTTGTCTTATCTTTCTGTTCATTTTCGGACCAAGTCTTGAAAATTATATTTGTATAGTATTCTCTTCAATGCTTTCCTATGCTTTATTTTCACATATTCAGGTTCGCCAATTTTATAAGAAACACTTTTACTCAACACATCAACAGGTAAATCCTGCATACAATCCATCCTACTAATATACTTAAATAACTATTCTTTAAGTATATATTCAAGTAATAAAATAATAGAGTTCTCTAAAATCTACGTACAGATACATTAATAAAAATCATACTGTTATATGATGAACAAAAACTACAGACTATCTATTGAATACTAATACAGCATAAAAACAAAAAAAAGAAGAAGAGAATTAACGTCAATAAAAACAGATGATAAGAAATTCAGATACAACAAAGACAAACCCATATCAAATGTTTTAACAAATAAATTTTTGTCAGTAAAGAAAACTAATGAATACAGAAGCTATGCTATGAAAAAGGCAACGGATGTTGTAAGTAGAGAAAGGGTTAGGCAATTAATAACCAACACGCCACAAGAAATAAATTTAGGGTCAGAGATATGCAATCAGCATTTAGAAGATACGCTAATTCAATAGTTTTAGAAAATAAACACTTTCAAGGAGAAAGGGGATTAGAAATGATTGCGCACAAAAAACAAAGACTATCATATTTTTTAAGGATTAATAGAAGCATGAAACTTAACATAAGAACGGAAGGTTTTCTTTGAAAAGCCTGAATACGATGATGGAGAAAATGAATTAGGACGTCAGGAACTTGTATATGCCCTACCATCAACCCGCTTCAATATTAGTAATGAGGATGAACAGACACAAGCATTAGAAGATAGTGTTATTCAAATCCGATTACAAATATAACCTTTAGAAGGTTCAACATCTAATTTAAGAGTTAAAAAGATTTTATCAATAAATATTCACTATGACAAATATACCCCAACAAGAGCAGGGAGATTCATCGAATTACCAGAATGGATTAAACTTAAAAAGGCATGTGTCAACATTTAAAATCAAGACCAAAAATGCTTCAAATATTGTATTCAATCCAAAGTCTATGACAAAATAAGCAAACATCACCCAGAGGAAATGTTCCACTATAATAAACAGAAAGATGATACTTTGAACTGGGATGGTGTACATTTTCCAACTGGCAATAGGGACATTGACAGATTTGAAGAGAACAATATATCAATTTCAATAAATGTGTTTGATCCCGATGACTTCTTAAATGGTAATAAGATTATATTGCATAGAGGCACTAAAAATAGAAATGCTAAAAACGAAATTGATTTACTAAAAATCTATGATGAAGATACTAATTATCAATATGTCTTAGTTAAAAACAAGTGCAAATTATTAAACTGTCAAAGCAGTAGCAGCACAAACAAAAAGTTTTACTGCCACCATTTTTCAAATCCCTTTCAATCAGAAAAAAGGTATATAAGAAACATCTTGAAAACGGATGTATTGCATCAGAAGGACAACAAACAAAGATGCCTGATAAAGACACTTATATAGAATATTTGAAAAGCATAATACTAAAGTGCCTTGTCCTTTTGTAATCTATGGTGATTTTGAATGTCTAACGACTAACTCTCAAAATGGTATAAAAGGCACAAAACAGGAACATAAACCATGTGGTTATATGCTAAATGTAGTAAGCAGGATTGATAATACATGCCAACCGTATTTATATAATGGTGAGGACTGTATGAAACAGATTGTAGAAAAACTGACTGAAATTAAGAAAGATATATTTGAAAACATGAACGTTAATAAACCGATGGACTCCATCCGATGGACTAATTAACAAACGAACAAAAATTAGAGTCTAAATTATCGTCTGGTTGCCCCATCTGCGGTAAGAAATTTAAACCTGACGATGAAAAGGTTCGCGACCACTGCCACTTCACAGGCAAATACAGAGGCGCAACGCATGTAAAATGTAATTTGGATTATTCATTTAGGTATTCTAAAATCCCAGTTTCTTTCATAATCTTGAAAAATATGGCGCTCACTTAATCATAGCAAAAAGCAAATGAACTAAATATAGAACTAAACCAAAACAAAAGAATAGATGTAATAGCACAAAACAGTGAAAAGTTCAAAACCTTTTCATTTGGCGCTTGTCAGTTTAAAGACAGCTTCGCTTTCTTAACTGCGTCATTGGATAAGTTAGTTAGATTAAACAAACATGAAGGAAATCAAAAGATTAAAGATTGGGAAACTCGTTTCAAATATACAAGCACCAACCCATATATCAAATCTAAAACTGATTTGAATTTGCTGACTGATAAGGGTGAAAATCCCTATGACTACATGAACTCATGGGAGAAATTCGATGAAACACAACTACCAAAGAAATAATATGTCTACAGCAAATTAAACATAACTGACAAAGACTACACCAGAGCAAATATTGTATGGAAACATGTTAACATTAAAAACCTTGGTGAACATCATGATTTGTATTTGATGACTGATGTATATTTACTCCCTTTTTCTTGAAAATTTTAGGGATATGTGTTTGAACTATTATGGATTAGACCCAGCGTTTTATTTCACTTTACCTAACTATTCTTGGAATGCCTGTTTATCATTGACAGGAGTAAGACTACAACAAATACACATAAAAGAAGTGTATGAGATGATTGAACATGGACTAAGAGGAGGAATGACACAGCGCTCCTTTAAGAAAGTAGAAGGAAACAATAAATACATGAATGAATATTATGATAGATCTAAACCTTCATCATACATAAGTTATTTAGATGCTAAAATCCTTTACGGATGAGCAATGTGTAAGAAACTGTCATATGGTGATTTTAAATGGTATTACGGTAGAATGGATGAAAAGAGAGTAATGACATATAGTGATGATGATGTAGGATACATATTAGAAGTTGATTTAGATTATCCAAAAGAACTACATGATGTACATAAAGACTATCCATTAGCACCTGAAATCCTGAGTATCAATTAGAAAATGCTTTCAAAAGTCCAGAAGGATATACAAATATTAGTATGGAAAAGGTGCAAGTGATGAAAAAACAAATAAGTTAGCATTAAAGGTAATGGATAAAAAGAAGTATGTTTTACACAAATCAGCATTGAAATTCTATCTGCAACACGGATTACGTCTTAAAAAAGTCCATAGAGCAATAAGTTTCAAACAAGCGCACTTCTTAAAACTATTCATTGAATTCGACACTGAAAAGAGAAAGAATGCCAACAATGACTTTGAAAAGATTTGTTTAAGTTAATGAATAATAGCGTATACGGCAAGACCATGGAGAATGTAAGAAAGCATGGTGGTTTTGAAATTGTCAATACGCCTGAACGCTTCCAAAAACTGTTAAATAAACCGCTATTGACACACAGTCATATCATAAATGAAGACCTTGTAAATGTTGAAAAAGGTAAACACACAGTGGAACTAAACAAACCTATCTATATGGGTATGTCTATTTTAGACTATTCTAAAATTCACATGTATTCCGTCTATTATGATGTGTCAAAACCAAAATATGATGTTAAGATCAAGTTGGTCTATACTGATACTGATAGTTATGTAATCAAGGTTGAGACTGATGACTTATATGAAGACTTTGAGGAGATAGATTAATACATGGATCTCAGTGATTGTCCAGCAGAACATCCAAATCATGATAAATCCAACAAGAAGGTATTAGGGAAAATCAAAGATGAAATGAACGGTAAAATAACTACTCACTTTATAGGATTTAAACCAAAGGCATATTGTTATAAAGTGTACGGTGATGAGAAAGAACAAGAAAAGTAAAGGATTGTCAAGCATAAAGTGAGCAATCAGCTAAGTTACAAAACTTATGAAGAGACATTGAATAAAAACTGTAAAGAAGAGTTCAGTTTTAACACTATCAGAAGTAAGAACCATCAAATTTATAGCATTAATCAGACTAAATATGCCTTAAGCAACTACGGCAATAAACGCTACTGGTATTCAGATTTTGAAAGCCTCCCGTTTGGACATTATGCCAGAAAATATCCATAACGAAAAGATGATTTAAGATATATGGATATATATATATATATGGTGGTTGATCAATATTCTTTCATCCTGGAATGGCCATTCATCGCGGAAAAAAGATATCTTTCGCGGATCTTTCGCGGCCTCATCGCGAAGCATGGTCCTACAACCATGTCTAGCTAACATGAGCCGGAACATGTCATAATAGGGAGAGACATCTTGCAGCATGACCCCAGTAGATGGTTGAACGTTTCCACAGCTACTCAGGGTCACTTGCAGCATCTGTGCGACAATTGTGCCAAATAGAGTCAGGCACAACTCAACCCAATCCTCGTGTCAGCTACCAACACAGGGTGATGCAGCTTGGGGAATGTGGGGGCCTCAAGCTGGGAACCTAGACTTTAGCGGCACATTCGCGAAACTTTCGCGGATCTTTCGCGAAGTTTCACTGGTGCTTTCCCCGGGACGCCGTGACATTTGCAAACATCTGCACAGCCCGTCAGAGCAGCGGCAGGTCGTTGCCTCACTGTTAGGGCTGCGCCTACCCAGCTTGCTAGTATGTGACAGTGGGGACAGGAATCGGAGAATCCTCTACGCACTGCCAGGGCTGGGCACGGAAAGGTTGAGGCTTCAGTTCGTTAGTTTGTGACATGGGGACACTTCGCCCACTGGCTCTGCCGGAGGATTGCCTTGCGTTTCTATTCTTTGTCAGTCCGGTAGAAAGGAAAACAATGAAAGCGATGACCTTCGATAAATCTTTCGCGGAAAAAAAAGATACTTTCGCGGACCTCATCGCGAATCTTTCGCGGATGGTTCTAACAACATCTGAAAGGCTGTTTTATATAAAACTCCTTACACGGGGTGTTCGATCAACTCCCATATAGATTCAACAATTGAAAAACTATGTCAAAGAATGGCAAAACATAGAAAATTTTAAAAATCTTATCTAAACAAAAGAAATCCCCCAAAACACTATCCTAACTCTATGACATCCTTTGATGAGTTCGGTGTTGAGAACTGTAAAATGGTTCTTATTGAAGAATGCCCACGCCAAAACAGACAGCAACTGGAAAAGAGAGACGGTTAATATATTGAAAATGAAAAGAGCCGCCTTAACAGATGTATTGTTGGTCGGACTACAAAAAGAGGTTTGCGATGCGACAAGAGAGCATCACCTTGAAGAAACGAAAGGGCGCCAAATAATCAAATAAAGAATATTGAAAAATACAAAGAAAAGGACAAACAGCATCATGAGAACAAAAACAAAAACAAGAAAGAAGAAACACTGGGAACAGCAAATAAATATGATGACAATAAATAAAGGTATAGAAGAATGAAACAAAGAAGCAATGAGGCAACCATAAAGAAAAAAATACCACAGAGAGAAACATAAACGCAAAAAGAAAAGAAAGGCGAAAACAGAATAAAGAAAAACAGTTACTAATCAACCAATAGTAATTCATGCCTATTATATTTTTACTCATTCCATCCAATTTAAAATATCTATTATTCATCATATCACGACCAACTAGTATTACTGTATACTTTCTTTTACTCCATTGACTTCTAGTTTCTTTCCTTGATACATAGTTGCCCTTTCCTTTATCAAATATCTTAACATAATCTCCTTCACTTATGTTTGGATTTTTTTGTGCTTTTCTTTCAGTATCAGATTCGTTCTGACCTGAATTACGTTATCAAGATTGTGCGCTTTATTGGGTGTTGTCTTGGTGCTACTGTGGATTTGGTTGTATCTATTCAACGAGGGCTTTAGCACTTCCAGCCATGTTTTGGTTTTGTAACGCCTCAATCTGTCCCCAATCATTTTTTTGACGGTGCGTATCATCCTTTCTGCCTGATTTGCAAGCGTCTTCGTTGTTACGTATGTTATACCGTCCTCCTTAAAGAATGTTTGCAGTTTCTTGCTGTTCAATGCTCCTTCGTCGCCGCTGTAAATCGACAAAGGCTGATCAATACCTTGAAACACCCCATGACTGCTTTATTTTAAACGTCATCACCATCTTTATTCTCGATAGGGACTATGTGACATTTTTTGCTGAATATATCTATGCAAACTAAACCATATCTTAGTACCTTTGATTTCAGAACCTACGTCTCGCAGCAAACTGGTGACATCCGGTCCATCAAGTCAATTTGAAATTCATACTTCGGGAACGGTGCAGTGTAGGAATTAGTAGTTCTTGTAGTTTCTTGTTTGCTTGTTGGGTTGCGCCCTCACCCATGTAGATACCATATCCAAAGTTATGCCTACATCGACTTTCCTAGCCTTTTCGTTTAAGTCCCTCACCGAACCGAAGCCGTCCTCAACGTCGTAAAATATTCTTTCCAATACAGATTATAATTTTATGATATTTTCTTGTCTCATAAAATCATAGGGAACTTACACCAAGCACCTTTGGCACTTCTTCGTTTTCTTGTGCTTTGCCAAGTTTGATTTGCAGCTCATGCAGGCAGAGCCGCATATATCACATACACAAGGTTGTTTCGTTTTCTCTTGGTAATATCTTTGGAAATACTTTTCGTCGTTCGGTTTTCTGCTGTAATATCCGTCCTCCTGCTTTCTCCATTCAGCATTTCTAGCCTTTTCAACAAGCGAACCCTTTTTATTATCACCTTCTTCAGAAGAAGATGTTTCGCTGCCTCATAGTTTTTGTGTTTTGAGCAAGTATGTACATAGTTAAACATGCCTTTGGTATTTTTGGGCTTTGGGAGCTGGGGTTCCGGATAACGAGGCTGGGCTCTCAGGAAATCAGCCACCGACTTTGGGAAAATCAGCCACCGACTCTGCCAAAATCTGCTACCGATTTTGGGAAAATCTGCCACCGACTTTGAGGAAATCTACTATACATATATATAATAAGTATAATATATAGTTGTCTCATTTGTCTCGACTTCAAACGTGCACCTTAGCGCATCACAACTACATTGCGCCATGGTAAATCATAGTAGCATGTGGTGTTGGATTGATTCAAAGTACAATCTGAAGGTTAATGGCAGGTACTGTATGTGACTTGAGAGGAGGGAGACACGAAAGGTAGGACAGCGGGAAGAGAAGAGAACGCGAGAGGCAGGAACAAAAATGCAATGTTCGACATGGTAATTTATCCCCTCGGAGGCGACCTTTCGTAAATATATATGTTCATATGCACTCTAAATGTTCAAACATATGCTCTCGAAATGTTCAAAAAGATTCTTAGGAAAACAAACTTGCCCCATGGCTCAGATCATCGGTGAGCATTGAATCGGAACATCATAGGATTTGAACTATCCTGAAACCATAAAAGGCTCAGAATTGACGTGCTTCACAAAACAAACTCTAGGTATGTATCCCCTCGGGGAACACCTTTCGTGATTTGAATTTCATATTCACTCTTTCTGAATGTTCAAGAGGGTTTCAACTATCCTGAAATCATGAGAGGCTCACGAAGACGTTCTCCAGGAGAGAATTGATTTT